CCCTCCCCCCCCCCCCCCCCATCCCACCCCTTTTCCCACCGGAAACGCCTCTCCCACCTCCGGCAGCTCGGCCCATCCCCAAACACCCATCCATTGTGTGCCCAGCCTGCAGCTCCTGCAATGGCCCCACCCTGCCGAATTTGCTGCAGAGCCCCTCCCCCCACACTTGCTCCTATGCCGTTCTCCCCAAAGACCCGGCCTAGCCCAGGCCAAGTGAATCCAACGCGCCCGGTGCATTTCCCCGGCAGGACTGTCTCCTTTGCTCCTCGCCGTCTCCGGCCACAGAGCTGATTTCTTAGATGGTACTGTCAATGATGTATCCCTCACTTTCCGCTGCCTCTCCGTTCGTGCCTGCCGAGGCTTAATTCCAATGGACTTCCCCATCCCCTGCACCTCCACATCCTCCTCAAATTATACAGGGATCCGTTTGCTTCCAAATTTAAAAAAAATCCAAAACGTCCCAGGCAGGCTATGAAAGTCCCGACGTCATCCCCTTCCCTCAAACGAACAACTGTGGGGTTTGAAATAGCGCTCCGCTCATGGGTATATTTCCGGCTCTCTCTTTTGCCAGAGGACAGCAGATGATTAAAATTAGACCCTGCATGAGCACTGAGCAATCGGCTTTGTTTAGAAACGCACTCAAAGCCGTGGCGGGCGTGGGGCGGGAGGTGGGTGGGTAATTACCTATATATGAAGAGGCAGGTATTAAAAAAGGCAATTCACATTTTGGAGAATCCTTTGCCGGCCATCCTCGGATCTAAGTTGGTTGCCTTTCCAGGTGGAATCATAAGGTGCCATCAGCTAGTCTGGAGGGGTGAGATAATTTGATGGTGTCTTGTTCTGTTCATTCCCTCTAGGGCACCTGGTACTGGCCAGGGTCGGCAGATGGGCTACTGGGCTGGGTGGACCTTTGATCTGACCCAGTCTGGCCATTCTGATGGGGCACCTTCCGTGACAGCCCTGTGCTAAACTCAGTAAATATGTTTCATTTCTTCTCCTTTCCTGGAAAGCCTCCTGGAGCTGACAGACCAGCATCCCAGACCTTCAGCGACCCCCACCCCCAAAGAGAATCCACTTCCTTTTTAAAGACTAATGTTTTGGGTTATTTTTGTTACCTGTTTTAAGAAAGGGCTGGTTCTGGAGGCTGCTCAGCCAGCTGACGGGGGGGTCTTCTTTGTGCGGAAAGCGACTTCTGCTGCAGCTGGGCGTCAGGCACGCTGGCGAGGATTTTCTGCCTGCCTTTTGTCTGTGTGTGTGTCTGTCTCCGCAATGCAGCCCCTCCTATATAGGCAGATGAATTACCCCTCCTCCCAGGGCTGGTCGGCCGATGATTCAGCGGGATGAGCGTTCTGCTATGCAAGCAGCTCGCCCCCCCGGTTCTATTATAGATGGGGCCGGGGGCTGGGCTTGAAAGCTCCATCCCCACGCACGATGGCAGTGGGAGGTGGTATCGCGTTGCGGAAAACCCACGGCCATAGAATGGGAAGATGAAACGGTCTGGTCCCTCCTCGGCGGCGTGCTGAGGGGCGGGGGGCTGAGCCGCCCAGGGCTTTGCCTTTCTACCTGCCTCCGCTCCGTTCTGCAGATCCCGTCAGTGAAACAGGCTCCTTGGCTCCAAGCAAGCCGGAGCGCTGGGGAAGCCGGGCCCAGACAAACGGTGTGTGTGATACTGGCGCTAAAGAAGATATCCAGCTGGGAACACAGAATGCTGGCCAACCGAGGAGACAGCTGGTGGGGGACACCAGCCATGTGGCTGTCCCCCTCCACAACTCCTCCCTGCACCACCCCTAGTCCAGGGGAGGACTGTCCCTAGGAAGATGTGGGGCCCAGGACAACCCCCCCTCTGTCCCAGGCCCTGCCTCTTCCCACCCCCACTCTCCCTCTCTCCCCCAAGCCCACTCCTCCGAGCGATGTAGCCTGGGGGACTAGCGGGCACCTGGTACCCACAATAGGGATCAGCAGCACCCCTGCATTCACCGGTGGCTGCAGGAAATGGAGCAACTTGGCTGGGGGAGCAGGGCAAGCTGGGGCTGAGTGACCCCTGCTGCCGGCTGTGCGAATCCCCCTGCCCGCCTTGCAGGGCCCCCCAAAGAGTGTTGCCCCACACCGTCTAAGGAATGGGAGGGCTCAGCACACCAGCTGCTGGCCCCTTGCCCCTCCCCCCATGGCATTGTGGGGGGGAGAACGTGGCCATGTCCTTCAACACATGACCCCTGCCGGATGTACTTAGAGGATGGGGGGGCCTCTTTCCTGGGAAGCGGGGACTGAAAAGGATTGGGGGGTCGTGGTGGATAATCAGATGAACGGGAGCAGGGACATTTTCATAGAAGGCTGGGGTTGGAAGAGATCTCAGGAGGTCATCTGCATCTCATCCAGCTCCCAGCATTGCCAAAAAGGAGACCCTGGGAGGCATCTATCGAGGGATGCCGAGTAGGTGCAGGGAGGCGATTTTCCCCCTGCGTTTGGCCCGGGTGAGGCCGCAGCGGCCCTGGGTCCAGTTCTGGCCTCAACTGGTCAGGAAGGATGAGGCTAACCTGGAGAGGGGTCAGAGAGACGGATGTAAGTGACTAGTCGACTATCCAATAAGCAAAAGATTATCGGATAGTCGACTAGTCCCTCGACTAGTTGCTTCCCCCCATCAGAGGCAGCAAGGAGGGGAGCAAGAGCCGGTGTTGGGGGGAGCTGGCTTAAGAGCCGGTTCTCCCCATCTCCACGGGGGTTAGGAGGGCAGCGGGAGACTGGGGACTGGTTCCCGGCTTGCACC